TGGATCTCGCCTCCGTCGCTCCTCCGCAGATACCAAAACGCTTTCCTCGCTCGCCTCCTCCCTTCTTTCCCCTATTTCGCCGAGAGATCTAAGATTTTGGCAAGAAATTTCACTCGATCCATCTGTTTGGAAGTGTTTAGGTGGCTAAAACCTAGATCTATTTTGAATGTGCAAGCACCGCTGGTAAAAATGTAGATCCACTGTTTCGGTGCATTTGAGAATAGGAATATTATTTCTAGGTTAGTGCACTCCTTTCAGAAAAAAAAAATCCAAGGCTAATCATTTGATTTAGGGAACTGAACTTGTACGATTGTCAAACCTTCTTATGCATTTGAGAAGGGATGAGGAGAAGCTATGTTCCTGATTGTCACCCGCATTTTCTATCACTTTCCTATGGAACTAAGGGGAGAAATTTGGTAGTATCAATAAACTTTGTTAGCTTCGGCTTTACTATTTCTAAAATTGGGATTTTTGACAGTTTAGAGATTCAAAAGTACTCTCCATGCTATGTTATTTGTATTAATCAAAATTTTTTTTTCATTTTATGTACATATGGTCTCCATGCTATTCAAAGTTACTGATTCTTTTAGGGTATTTCTTGACGGTTGATGATATTGATGCAATGTTTTGTTCCCTGCCATTTGATTCTTTGAGGGTATCGTGAGGCTGGTTTAAAATGACAGGCGTCTGTCATTTTAGAGAAAATCACTTTTAATACCGTAATCTCTTTATTTCTGATGCAGGGATATCGTTCAGAAATAATTTAGTGGTTAGATTTGTAAGAACATAAGAATTGGGCCATATGCTTGTGAATGCCCCATGATGTTACAAAATTTTTCAATATATGTATACTCTCCATGTGTGTAGTCTACCATTTGATTTTACTTATGATACTTTTATTTTATACAATTATATAAAGCCAATCATTTACTATGCATATCGAATGAAGGCTGAAAATGAAATTAAAAAAGCCTCTGATAAAAATATAGATCCACTGTTTCTGTGATATGTTTGAAGCATCGAAGCATCAAGGCAGTTCCCTTCTAGAAGCTTGAGTGGTTCTTATGAGTTATCAGACTCTTCATCAAGATCCCAAAGCATCGAAGCATTAAGTTTACTTTTTATATTTCCTTATTTTTTGGACTGATCAATTCTATTTTTAATAAATGCAGAACAATGAGTTCCAAACATTCAAGGAAGTCCGAGAAAGTGATGTGTCGTTGCGGACTACCGTCCTTGCTATTCACGTCACGCCAGACACATAGCTACGGGAGGCAATTTTATAGGTGCCCGCGGTGGGGACAAGGACCTGAAGACTGTAAATTCTTCAGGTGGACGGACAATGCAACTGTTTCTACGATATCCCAATTGGACACAGCTGCTAAGAGTTCGACAGTACCACAACAGGAGACCACCGCATATGGTTCGAGTTCTTCCGTGTATACCGCACCCATCAGGACACGTTTGCTCGGGGTTTTGAGATATCAGAAACGGGCAACATTAGTCATGATGTGACTTTACATGTTAAACTCAATATTGTCATATTTTTCCTTGTAATTTTAACATGTTATTTTTTCTTTTTTTTTGGGTCTTATTATAATCCATATTAGATTTTCATAAATGTGTAATGAACTTTCATATATATCACTATGTTTTTTTTATGTAATCACAATTTTTTTGAGTTATATAAATATTATTAAACTTTTTTTGCATTTTCATTTGTTGACATTTGAGAAAATAACATTCTGCTACACAGATTATTCATTCAAGTAAAAAAATTTACAAATAAGTTGTTTACAAAACGCACTAACCAAACAGCTAAACAACTTATTCAAAACAAGGGCAGAATAGTCAATTTTACAGAATCAGCTGTTTTCCAGACGCACTAACCAAACAACCAGACAGCTTATCTGGATCAGTTGGTCATCAGCAGATTATCAGGATAAGCTGCTTATCAGCAGAAGCTGGATAAGCTGCAGCTGCCCCAAACAGACCCTAAATATATTTATTAATATTTTGAAACTTTAAAATTTACTCAAAATATTTCTAATTTTATTTATAATTATGTAAATTGTTTAAATTTTTTGAAGAAGAAAAGGGTGGAGGCAGACTTGGCCAATGGCTGACCTGCTCATGGGCTAATTGCGCATTTAATGGGTGTTTTAAGTGTGGGGGTCTATGTTAGTCCCTTCTTAATTTATTTTTCAATATCCTATTATAAATTTATTTTAAATAAAAATCTTTTCTTTTTAATTTTTATATATACTTTGAGTAAAATTATTTGTTATAATGTTATTGAAAATTTATACTTTTTTAAAATTTCTATGAGTATTTATTTTTTTTATTTCTTTCAATCAGGTTCAAAAAAATTACTTTTCATATTTCATTTTTGAGATCTAATTACACTAATCATAATAATAAAAAATTATTTTTTATTTGTGAGAAGTTAACAAGTCAAATAAAAATCGAGGGTATCATTTTTTACTTTCCTATTTGTATGTGTGTGTGTAGAGCTGAATCAAACTGAGTTGAGTCAAGAATGTCATGGATTGGACTCAGTGTAGTCATATCATAAGTTGTTTATGTTCAGTTCGAGCTTGAGCGAATCTTTGACATATATGATCATGATTGGCTTGCTTAAATTTTTTAATTTTCGTACTTGATTTGTACTTAATCACTTTATGTTAATTGTACAAACTACAAATTCAAATTACTACATAATTATTCATACAAAATAAAAAATTTGATTTGCACTTAAATTTTCATGTAAAGCTAGTAAATAACATGGAAATTTCATTTAGTAATTGATTTTTTATATAAAACTATTAGAAAATGTTTTTACAAATATAAATAAACAAACAACTGCATAAATTTTAATTAAATAATTAATAGCTTATAACAAGTTAATAAAATAATGAATAGGTTGTAAATAAGCTTTCTTGAAACCAAAAAATACAAATAAGTGCTAAATAAATAGCTCATTACAATAAAAAATGAAAAAAATGCATTAAATTTTTATGTATATTGATATAAAATTATTATATGTTACCATTAATTGCATAATTAAATAAATTCTGGTTAATTATGATTAAATTATATAATATGTCATATAAATATGGAGCATTTAATAAGTTGTTGAACACCCAATGAGCATGTTCATGTAGATTTAATAAGTTCATCTATGTTCAAATTTGGTACTTTTAAATTTTAAATTAAAAAAAAACAATAAATATTATTTATTTATTAATTTGAACAATTATTGAATAAATATTAACAGAGCTATGATCAAATTTCTCATCTAGTGAATGTGTTCATTTATTGCCCGCCATCAAGTGTATCGGTTCATTTACAGCCCTGTTTGTGTACAAGGTTTTGAAATAAGAACATGCTGTGAATTGATCATACAGTAAACAAGCCAAATATAAATAAAAATTTTAAATTCTGCTTCTCAATACCTTCAAAAGACGCAAGCATGGTAGCTCGCGCAAGCTTCTTTGTAGAGTTGCGCAAGCTTCTTTGTAGACTTGCGCAAGCGTCTTCGAGCTGGCTTCTTATTAAAACAAGCCAATCTTAATTAAAAGAAATGGATAAATAAATGTATTCCGTTATTTATATTTTTCTTATTAATGTCATGGGCTTCCTTTCTACAGACGCATCTTCTTTCTCTTTCTAAAGTAACCAATTGCTAATATAAAAGTAGCAAAGGAATAATTGGCGGGTTCGCTCTGTTGCTAGAGGCGTGAAGAGGGGGAGATAGCCATGGCCCCAAGTTTTGTTGCTCTCTCTCTCTTCATCCTTCAAAGTTTCCTCTTTTCTTCCTCTTCCTCGGAGCTTCACCGATTTGATCATCCCGCCAAGAAGGATGGTTCTCTGAGCCTTCTCGTTGTTGGAGATTGGGGAAGAAAAGGATTATACAATCAATCCCAAGTGGCAGAAAAGGCATTTGCTTTCTTCTCATTTTTATCGACTGATCTCTATTTAAAAAATAATAATCATAGGAAACATGTAGATGGGAGAGATTGGGAAGGAACTCGACATCGATTTTGTGATATCAACCGGTGATAATTTCTACGAGAATGGATTAACTGGAGTAGATGATACTGCTTTTGAGGAATCCTTTGCCAATATTTTCACGGCCGAGGGCCTGCAGAAGCAGTGGTATGCTGGTAAGTACTAATACCATTCTAACTTTTTTATTTTATTTTTGATTTTTTTGGTCTGTAAAATAAATGTTTAACTAATGTTTTTTTTTTTTAATATTCAATAGTTTTGGGGAATCATGACTACAGGGGAGATGTTCTGTCGCAGCTAAGTCCTATTCTTCAGACGATTGATAGCAGATGGCTTTGCTTGAGATCTTTTATTCTTCATGCTGGTTAAGTGCTATTCATATTTTCTTTGTTTATATTTGAGATTGGCAGCTAATCAAGTTTATTTTAATTTAGAAATTGCTGATTTCATCTTTGTGGACACAACTCCATTTGTTGTCAAGTATTGGACTCAATCGGAGGGCCACCTTTACGACTGGAGAGAAGTGTCTCCTCGTGAACAATACATTGATAATCTCCTTAAGGTGTATATAAAATTTGATCTAATCACTACAGCATACATACTTTTAGTTCTCATTCGGTGGCGAAATTTTTAAAATAAAAAAATAAATTATTTGAATAATAATATAGGAATTGAATGAAGCATTGATTGAATCCCGAGCACCGTGGAAGTTTGTGGTTGGTCATCATACAATGAGGAGTGTAAGCGAACATGGAGACACGGAAGAGCTACTGGAGAATCTCCTCCCGATTCTTAAGGTGATTTTATTAAGAAACAGGTCAAAATATCCTGATATGGCTTTGATCAAATATTTTTAAAAATTTCAATTATCATTTTTGTACTCTCCTGACTACCCAATTAATTGTTATCAAACAATTGCAGGAGAATGGAGTTGATCTTTACATAAATGGACACGACCACTGCCTCCAGCACATTAGCAGCAGAGATAGGTAGATCATCATAATTTGCTGCTTATGGCTTTAGGGAAGTAATTAGGGAAGTGAGGATTCAGTTGAGCTCATTAATATTTTGCTGTATATTTTTGCAGTTCTCTTCATTATTTAACAAGCGGCGGCGGTTCCAAGGCGTGGAGGGGAATTTATATTCCAAATGATGACAAGTTACAATTCTTCTACGATGGCCAGGGTTTCTTGTCGATGCAGTTGACTAAAACGAGTGTGACGACTGTGTTTAACGATGCCTTTGGCCAAGCCTTGCACGAACTGAGTCTAACCAAGCAGTTTCTCAATTACCTGTAATTTGTTAGAAGATTGGGGAGGGACATTTATGTAAATAAGCTGAGAGCTTAGGCATGCTTACACGAGCTTCTTGATCAAGGAAAAGTAAGGATAAGTGTTGAATCCAAATTTGTTCAGGAGACAATGCCCAAGAAATAGAGTGTCAGAGATCAGAAAGAGGGGAGGAGGAGATTATGAAAGAGAGAGTAATAACACAATATTAAATAACAAAAGTTGTGTCACCTTTATTCACAAAATAAACCTTCTATTTATAGGATGGGGTTTAATTATGACTACATACTATAACCCTATGACGGCTAGCTACGTCAGGGGAACTTTAGTCCATAATTGCACTAGGCCCGCACGGTCACGGAATATGAACCGCTGGCCTTTCGGCCAGATGACTAGAGAGTCGAGGGGACTATGAGGCCAAATGACAGTAGGCTTGCCAGCCATTGGATGGGAACCTGGGTCTCCGTCATTGGAGCCTTGGGCGCCATCGCCCTGTCCTGACATGTTCAACTTGGTGGGTGATGGTTTCCTTTTAGCGAGATTCCTCTAGAGATGATCCTTCCCCGCTTTGTTGTCGAAGGCACGCCGTTCTTTTTATCTCCATATTTGTTCGATTCAGCAAGTATTTCTCAGGCATCCATGGTTGGGCCTGCAATGCTGCTTCACCCCCCATATTGTTCATGAGGTGTTTTTGTGATTTGTGCTGGCACTTTTTTAGTGTGCATATTAAGTTCCCCATTTTCTCTTGCTCCTTAATTGTGACAACTGCAACAAGGAGAAGAAAAGTTTTATTAACTCTCCTCTATTTTCTTTATCTTTTATCAAAAGAGGGTAAGACAAAAACAGTGATTCTTATATGAACGTTGATTTATTGAAATCATAAATAAACTCCCTGGGTTATTGTGGTAATGTTTGTCTTATCAGGAACACTGGGGGTTGCTCGTTCATCCAAAATTTGTTTATCTTCTGGCTTTTGGATCGTTGTTCTTAACTTTGACATGGAGAAGGGATCTAACTCTATGTTGAAATCCGCTGATAAGGCTGTCGACCTCACTTTTAGTTGAGGTATAGTTTCCTCCTTAGTAGCCTAAAGTCTAGACATAGGACTTTCATGTTGACTATTTCTAGAGGACTAAAAAATGAACTCTCACCATTATAAATTCTAAACTCTTCTTTGCTCAACTTGAAGTTCCACATATTGGTCCTAACCTCTAACACTTAGTAGGTGTGGTCAATATGAGGGAGCTCAAGGAGAGTCCCCATAGAATGATCAAGCCTTAGGACTAACCTTGGGTGGTTTGGTCTTGGTTACGCTAGCTTACACACACTACGCATTCTCACACACCCCAAACTCTAAGACCACTTTCAGTTGATTTGGTCTTTTGACTTCTTTTAGAAAGCTCATATGGATGGACCCAAACCCCTAGCCCTTGGCTAAGATGGTTTGGACCTGCATATTGAGCATCCAAAATGAGCCCTCATAAGGCCCCTATTAGTTGACATGACTTCATGGCTTAATTGCCCATTCTAACCCAAAATCACCAAATTACCAAAATACCCCTATAGCCCTAATTTTTTCCAAAATTCCCAAAATTGTCCAAAACACCCAAATTTGTCCAAAATTCATCTCAAATCATTCCCCACTACCTAAATTGACTAAAATTCACCAAAATTCCAAAATTCCTAAAATTGCCAAAATTACCAAAATGCCCGTCATAACCTAAAATTTTCAAAAATTCCAAAATCATCTCAAATATTCACATTTTCAATTTTGAACCATGACATTGACCCAAGTTGACCCATTTTGACCAAAAGCCCCAAATTGCCCTTAAAGGCATAATTTCTCCAAATTAGCCTCAATATTGACCTAATTGACCGAAATATTACCCAATTTCAATTCCAAACCAAAATTCAACATGTGTAATACCAATTCAAACCAAATACAAGCTCAATTTCACCCAAATCAAAAGAGCCCCAATTTTGATGATATGTCCAAATCTACCAAATTGGCCTTCCAATTCAATTCAAAATCACTTGAAATCTTTTACAAATTCTTCATGACATCTCCCAACACCAAATTAAACATTTGATTGACTCAAACTTTGGCCCAAATTTTAAAAGCCCAAGACCACCACATCTAATTCCAAAAGCCCAAATCCAAAGCCCACATGATAATTTTTTTTTCTCTTCATCATTCATTTCATTAAAATCATTCCCTAAGTTTTAGATTCATGATCAAATCATTACAAATCAATTCTCATGACAAACTCCACCAAAATATCCCATAAAATCCAAAATCCCTTTTCATGAAAGTTGGTCAAGCCAAGGACAAGCCATGAAGCCATCCCCAAGCCATAGGTGAGCCATATGAGCCTTTGCCACCTCACCAAGCTATTAATGGAAAGAGGACAAAACACTTTCAAGCTCCCTTAAGATTCTCTTTAACCACTCCCATGATACACTCTAACCCCTTTTTAGCTAAATCCCTTGGATGGTGACTCATTTTCACTAATTAAGCTGAGTCAAATGTTCTCCTCCTCAGCCTAAATCATTCTTTGACCTAAAATGACCCTTCCCCCATTCCTCTTTAATCCAAAACCTTTACACATGGCCAACCCCAATTGACAACCCCAATTGACTTCACCAATTGACTTCACCAAAACCAAGCTCTGAGCCCCCTGACCAAATGGTGACCTGACTCTAGCCGGCCAACCACCTTGGTTCCCGGAAAATACCATGGTCATGGAAAAGTAAGGGATTAAGACTCAAAATTACACCCAACCAAGCTGGCTCACTCCAATTGTTTTGTTTCCCCTTTCTTACCTCCACTTAAGCAACCAAAGCCACCCACTGGTTGGCCCAACCCCCACCGCCAGCCCCAAAGCCCCTTTATTTAAACTCACCCTCCACGGCCAATGGGCGAGAGTTTGAAATTCCTTTGGGAGACTCTGCCAAATTGTTCCCAGAGCTTCTTCAAGACCTCTTGAGTCCAATCCAACCATCCTCTGGCCCTCAAACCCACTGCTTAAGCTTAAAATCAAGCACAAAACAAGCATCCCTCTAGACTCCACCATAGTCAAATTAATTGCACTCACACCTTCCCTTGAGTGAGAGAAAAAGATCCCCCATAAAAGCCCCATCACCAGACCACCCTAGCATAGACTTTGATCAACACCCCAAATAAGCCTTGATCAAAATTGTACCTAGGTAATTCATCATGGCCCAAGGCTTCATCTAGGAGCTCTCTGAACTCAACTCAAGTTTCTCAAAGCACCCAATCAAGGACACACCTCTTGGGCAAAGGTATTGAACTCTCCCCTTAAATCGAGCCTATTGAAATTCTTCATGCTCATAGACTCAATTTAAGACTTGATTAACCGTATGGATGTATTCATCTCATCGAGACAAGTCGATAAGAAGAGACCGCACTTGATTTGGTTGAGGATCAAGCAAGATATTAAGGTTTGAAGTTTAACGTCTCTCGGGCTAGGGAATTGGGGATGATGAATGGATGCCATCCATTTCCGTGTGTATCGAATGGATGCTCTTGATTGCGCCGAACGGATGGATGGAACGGAACAGCGGGATAAGTAGTTGCGGAGTCAGAAGGAGGAGTCAAATGGCGAAGCGTCGCGTGGTCTTTTGAAGCTGCCTATGATCCAGTAAGCGCCGTGTGATCCCCGATAACTGCTTATAAGCAATAGTATAATAATAATTTTGATTATATTTTTCACTTATATTTCTTTATTTCGTAACAAAACCAAAAACTTGATCCTGAAAAGAAAAATAAGAATTTAACTTTTAATTTATAATGGGATACTACGCAAGTATATGTATCATTATCAAGTAATATAGGACTTTTTTATTAAAACCTAAATATCGAACCCACAGGGAAGATATGCAATATGCACTTTTTGGAAAATTTTTTATTTTTAAAAAGATAATTATTTAAACTAAAGACGTTTTTGCAGTAAAGAAAGTTTAAATATTTTTTGTAATTTTAATATTTTGGCAAAAACAAAATAAACTTAAAAAGATAACTTGAGTTTTTAAAGAAGAAAATCATTAAATATGAAAATATCTTTCTCCTTATCATGAATAAGTAATAAGTATAGGACTTATGTTGTGGAAGTATACATATTGTGTTGTGTCAAATAGGAGCAATAATATTCTTTACCCTTACTAGAGATGCTATAAAGAACATTAGCTAATTTAAAGTTTGAATAGTTCTGAAGACCGGCTAGGCAGGGAAGATACTAGCTCTCACTCTAGAGTTCCCTCGATTCCCTCCACCTGAGGGCTAACATCTTGTATCAGACCCTAAAACAATAAACCAAGTTGGGGGCTTAAACCTGTCACTTTAAAGTCCTCTAACTCTATACCATTCAATGAATATTTCCCTATTTATTTGCATTCAATCATATGAACTACATTCTTATTCATACAATCTTATGTGATTCTTTCCAATTGTTGACTGAGACAATACAACCCGGTTCTTACATGTTCTCACAACACATTTTAACTTCTGGATTGGCCAAATCAAGAAGTAAATGAAGTACATGGATTTAAATCATCACAACTTCTTCCAACATTAAAGATCAATACTCTCCA